AGTGTAATATTTTAATGCAAATATGCTTTGCCATTGCATTTTATTTAAAAGAAAAAAGTTTCCATGTTTCTGGCTAGGACACTATCCATTTGATGGAGTTCACTGAAACCAGCCTCTTATTCCCTGGTTAGGTCTCATTGAATGGGCACTCCTTTCCCTGATTGCTTAAAAACACCTCCAGGGGGAAAAAAAAAAAAGGTTAATTAAACTTTCCTCGAGAAAGAGTTTTTGTTTTTGTTTTAAAAAAAGATCCTACGTGTGATAAACCCATCTAGCGCAGAAACACTAATTCTTATTTCCCTGCATCCTGTCCCAATGCACATTTACATCTCAGTAACATTATTTAATTAGGATTCCATTTTCCAACCTGCTTTGTGTAGTTAGAAAGTGTTTGAATACCCGGCCACTTTACCGTTCCGATGTAAACTGCTGCTGAGAAAGTGGTCTGTCCATGCTACACCATCTTTAAATTGTGTATATAATTTTATAAATGATATAAAATCTGCTTCTAGTCCCTGAGAAAAAAAATACAAGCATGGCACACTGCAATTTTGGAAGGATTTAAAATATGTGATTTCTGCTGGTACCTACTGTATTGGGTTTAATATAAAGCTTTTTTCAATAAGGTAAATTGTTACATGACAAACTCATCTTCCACCATTATCATCTGCTGTTTGTGTTTAACAACAGGAGTCCCGCTCTAACAAAACTGTTGTAATGGCTGTACAAATTACTCAGCTGAAAGCTTTTCACCAAACAAAACAGTATTAATCAGCAGTTCTTATGAAGGTGCTAATTAAAAACAATTTTCTTCCTCAGTTTGCAATACTAAAGCCATCTTCACTTGCACAGTTTCCAATATGCAGCTACTGTATTTGCTCACACTTCAGGCCCTCTATTAACTATTGAATCTCCTATTAGCCATTTTATTACATTTCTGTTTACAAGCTTGTTGACATTTTAAAAGTCACAGTATGATCTGTTTTATCTATTAAAAAATGTATTAATTGAAAAGTCAGGGGGACAAAAAAGGCAAAATATAGACTCCAAGTGAACAGACTTCCAGGGCAGAGAACACAGTGAGCATTTAGTCACAGTCTGGGCAGTAAGGTCTCTGGGTAAAACGAAATCTGAGAATTAAACATGGCATTTCAGGCGTAATGGTTTGTTAAACACCAATGGGCTCCTTCTTAATTTGGAAATAGTCCATTCAGGAAAAACATATTTGCCCTCTGTCCAAATTCAGTTTCTAAGGAGACCCAATCTGACTTTCAAATCAATTTTTCCTCTCTGGGCTACACTCCGTCCAGTTATATATTTCATACAGTCTGAACTCAGGAGGTTTTTGATCTGGGGTAGGGAGTATATCTGGAATCTGGAGCCCAGATCGAGGGTCTAAACAGGTCTGTCTTCCCCGTGTGTGTGTGTATATGTTTGTGTGTGTCTACGTACACATGACTCCATCTCCTGTGTGAGCATCCTGCCCCCTCCCCAAGCCCAGGTGAAAGGGTCCCCCTGGACAATGCCACCCAGTTGCTTGGCATAGACTGGGAACAAGTCAAAGGCTGCTTAAGCACAAAGGCCCCATGGAAGCTGGGTTGAGGCAAGGGGACAGTCCACTCCTACTAAAAATGAAGAAGAAGAAGAAATCTAACCCTTAGGAGAAGAAGGCATGCCCCACATTTGTAGATGGAGAGAAGGAACGCACCCTCAACCCCGCCCCGCTCCAACCGCAACAATCTCCTACCTATGGTATTAAAACCAGGTTCTCCAACTGTCAAAAGCAGTTAACTAGTTTAGGAAAGACACCTGGCTGTTGAAATAGGGCTCCAGAGGGCCACTAATCCTTCCATTCACTCAGTTAACTGCTGGATCCCCCAAATTGATTCAACAGGTATGCAGTGGTAAATTCAGCCCATACTGAAGTCAAAGGGAAAATCAGCAAGGGGCGGGCAGCTCTTCTCTGCAAACACCCGAGGAACCAGCCAGAAAAGCTTTTATGGCCCGACAAGTTTTCTGCTGAATACTGAGCACCTAAATTACCCTTCCCTAATGGAAGTTACATTTTCATGCTCAGTCAAAAAGCCAACAAAATACACAATTTATATAAAATAGCATCAGCCTCTTAGGCAGTCTTTTCTAGCACTTTTATCCCAATTCACAGTGTATGTCTTGCTATAAAATAAAATATATTTCTTATAACCAACTTGTATGTGGCTGTTCATATCACTGCTTTAGAACTGACTACGGGCGATATTAGAAACATTCTTACATCTAACCAAATCTACTTAGTATGACAAAGGAGATTAGTGAGTTTCCTCAGAAGATACAGGTACACCGGGAGCAGGAATATCATAATAATTCTTACAATTTCAAAGACAGGCTTTGTTTTGAAACAAACACATGCACAATTACATAGACAATTATGGAATGTGGTATTTCAATTGCAATTATGCAACCCAGTACTTAATTAATTCTTAATCATAAAATTTTAAAGAAATGTAAATGGATGAACTGTGTAAAGTTCATAAATAATTCTTAATAATTATTCTAATCATAAAGAAATAATTCTTAATCATAAAGTTTTAAAGAAATGTAAATGGATGAACTGTGTAAAATAGCTATATCTTTTCTCCCTCTCAATACTGGCTTCTCACCAAAATCTGAGAAAATAAGAATACTTTTAAACTAGTCAATATTACACAACGTTAGTTTCTTACAAACTTCCAAAAGAGCCTGGATAGTAATATCTTCAAGTGAGGGTCCCATTAAAAGACTGTCTATGAAACCCTTAACGTTTTACAAAAGATTCTCTAGGTTTTAATCACATAATGTGTGTATTTCTTTACTCAATGTCTTTGGGTAGCAATAGCTCAATTCTTATACCCTGTCTCATGCTTAGGTTACTGTACCCTACTATTCTCAGATATTAAGAAAAAAAATACACTACTAGTAAACTTTTTAAAATACAATTTCTTCCAGTGAAATAAACACTGGGTTTCTACACCCACAACACACAAATGTAAGTTGAATTCTTGCCAATTCATGTATTTTCATGAGAAAAAAATGGAAATAGTCTCGTGGTTCTGCTCTTCTATATTTTACAAGAAAAAAAAATAAGAATAGACCATCTTAGATGCTACTGCAGGGATGGGTTTCCTTTGTCTGGCAAATTTAGTTGCAGGTTTTTCAGAAGAAATCATTTCTCTGTATTTTCACCACTATAAACTACCTGCGTTGCCTTTTAAAACATTCCAAATTCTAATTTTTAAACAAGAAAATGCGAAGCCAGTGTGCAACCTATACAGTCGCCAAAGGAGAGCTGCCACTAGCTGAACTACTCAGCTAAATGGCTGGTTTGCATTGCCCTGGTCTTTATCTAGCACTGAGAATAGACTGCTGTTTTATCCAAAGAGGAATAAATTGCTGTTATTGTGATGTTAGCCCATCACTTGGCATTGCAATTCAAGTTTTTGTGAGAAAGAAATGTATGATCTAACTGCGACTTGACCTATGCCTTCCGAGATCCATCTAGGTGCTCTAATGGAGCAGAAAAAGTGGTGAATACAAGGACATGCAAACTGATGGTGAAAAATTTGTTTGATGATAGAAGTGAGCAGAGAAGACATTTGAGAGTCGCTGTTTTTATGACAGCTAAGTTTGTTTAACATGCAAAAGGACTCGCTCCCCACCCCACCCCCCGCACCTTGTCTCACCTCTCACTTTAATTGTACCATGCTAAATACATGCTTTGGCTCTACTAAAGATAGGAGTATCCCTATATGGCTAGCCTACTACTGACATCACTGTCAAAGTGGGTACAGATGATTCCTTACAGATAAACATCTGAATTTCCACAAAAGGCATTAGAACATCGTGGGGATGCACCAGGCAAGGAGAAGCTTGGGTTCCCTGCAGAAAAGTCATTCTCTCTTAATCCTAGGTAGCATCTACTAAATGTTGACCACACACTTGCATCACCGCATAGAACTATATATACTTACTTTCAGTCAGATAATTGTGTGATTGAGTTTTTAAAAGCTCGCCCTGGTTGCCACCTTGTTTTAGCAACCGTTTATTCAAAAATTTCCCTGGGAAGGACCTGTTTTGAAAGAGGCCTGGAGAACAGCAGTAGATCTGAGCCCTGATAAAGGCTCCCTTTTCATTCATAGTCAGAGCCTAAATGTGCTCTTCTTGTACCTAAACAGATAATAAGCACTCAGCACACTCCTCCTTCTTGACACAACACATTGAGACTAATCACACATAATTGGAGAGGAGGAGCAGAGGGCTGGCCACGCTATTGTGTCCAGAGGACAAACGGTCAGTTTATGAGGCTTTGGGCTGCTGTAGTCATTTCTTATACATCTACAGGGGAAAAAAACATCCTGTTTAAAAGGAAAAAGAGAACGGGTGAGAGAGACAGCCATTAAAAAGAGTGGGGGGCAGAGAGAAAGGTGGCAGATTTAATACAATTAATTTGAAGGTGATCTGAAAGATTTGTTTCATTTATTTTTTTTAACCAGGAAAGAATCATCATGTTTGCTGGTCTGACAGATGAAAAACGACCATCACTAAAAATACAACAAAGGCCAGGATATTTTCTAAAGGGAGTGGGGTGGGGTGGGATATGAATCACCAAAAGAAATGCTCTCTCAATCTGAGAGGGAAAAATATTTGGGTGGCTTACAAGTCCCATTCAGATCTCACATAGGCTGCTTATACATATTTAAAGACAAAGGTTTGGTGCAGAAAGAGCAACAGGGAAGGCAAAAAAGAGGAGTCTAGGATGGCTGGAGAGTCACGTGGGTGAGGACAGGTGGACCCCATAACCCACACATGGAATGTCTCAGAGGTGGCAGGGGCCCACGTCCTGGGGGTTTAAAAATCTCAGGGAGCCAACAGCTTGCTGCATATTATATCCACTACAGATTTCTGTTTTTGTGAAAGTATTGCCTGTGCACTTGATGTTGTCTTCATCTTTCGAGCTGTTTAAGCTTCTATCCATCTTTGGTTAAAATAAGCAGAAGCGGGAAATGAAGATTTTCTTCATATACATCCTGGTTTTCCTTTTTCAACTGAAAACAATAATAGAGAAAAAAAGGTAAAGAGGAATTTTCACTAGTCAATTGTAATGTTGAGTAAAAGGAAGACTTCTTGTCTAAAAACACTGTTCTGGAAAAATAAACCACAAAAAAAGCAACTCAAAGCGGTCCTCAGTGGCAGTGACAAGACAATACTATGGGTTGAGTTAGAAATTATTATTATTTTGGTAGGGGTAGGGTGTGTGTGTGTGTGTGTGTGTGTTTTGTAAATAGCCAGGCTGCTTTTGTAACCTCTGTGGGCTCTGAGACACCTCAGAACAGGGACAGCTGGGGACTCGTTCATCTTCACCGGATCAGCCATTCGGCCTAGAAGTTTCTGCTCCTGCCTGCTGTCTGCCCCCTGCCAGTGCCCCAGGAATCAGGCTGGCAGGCAGTTCAGATCATTCGGAGCCTGGGGCACACCTGAGCACAAGCGACAAGCTGGTGGGGCCGAAGACATTTCAAAGGCTTTCCAGCCGCTTCCTCGAGCTTTTAATATTAATGACAAGTAATTCAAAATTTGTTGTCTCCAAGGAGGAAAACATATTCCAACAATTAGAGCAGCAAGCTTTGAATACTACACTCAGGTAAAGTTCTGAGGGCCTTCCCTTGATAGATTCAAAAGTCCAATCAGAGTTCTCAGATCTAAAGTACATTTTCCCCTCATTCAGCTAGAATAATTTTGAGAGTCGTATTTATATTTATTCTAGCAAATAATACGTTGCTGTTTATAAAGACAAAATTGCTATTTTTGAAGCTGGTGTTTTGGAGCTAACTGTGAATTTATTTTTGAATTTATAAGGATTGGAAATAAGTATTTCTTTTCATTTTACAAGGAACCAATTCCTTTATCGTTTCAAATCAGACAAACATCCCACCTTGCCCTCTCCTGAATCTAAGTGAATGGCTCCAGCACGACACTTTCCTGCATTCACAGGTCTGTGACACATTAACTGGAATCTTTCTAAAGGGCATGTTTCATCTAAATCATATTTCCAAACTGTGACGTGCCTCACTATTAAGGACAACAGAAATGATCCTGTTTTTCCTTTTTCACTGGGGAACATAAAGCCAGCCTGGTCTCTACTTTTTAGTCCATTTGCCCAAGAACTGATGGTGGTACAATTGCTGAAGTCACTTCATTCTGTTTTCTTTGATGGCATTTGCTCTTCTTACAGATGGTTAGTTGTCTATTTAGAGAGATCCTCACGGATTTTTGTTGCCACCAAAGTCATGATAGTGTTAATCCTAAACATACATTACTCTTTAATTTTAAAAAATGCCCCCAAAATGGCTCCCCAAACTTCCCAAAACAAAACCACTATAACCGGGACCTACCAACCGTAAATACCTTTGTTGCCAGTTGCCCTAGTGATAGAAGGAGCTCACTGAAATATTTTACACAGGGAAGAGGGGGCCAAGCTAGCTAAATTCTTCCTCTGGGATTGGGGATAAGGGAAAGTTGATTACTCAGCGTGAGTCAGCTGACCTACTCACTCACAATGCACTAATATACAGAGACTCAAATGAGCTCTTTATAAAGTCCCTGAGGTAATATGTGGGATAAATAATTCTTTGGTAAATATGGGTTAGAAATCACTTTTAACTTGGATTCTATGCTGACCTCTGGAGGCCAAAGCGGGGGCTTCCTTGCTAGAAGGGGCCAGGGGCCAGCCCTGTGGACAGTGAGCCCTTCACACCACGACGACGACAGAAAAGAGCTGAAAACCCTCAAAGGCAGCCCTACACCCCAGATCATTTCCGAATCCAGCCTGTTACGTGAGTGCACTTGAACACACACAAAGCTGTTAGGAAATACTGGCTTCAATGGGGGAACGTTATATGGTTTCAGAATAATTCCATGTACCCAGGCTGTACTTCTTTGCCCAATGAACAATTATAATTTCAAGAAATCAAACACCTGGAGAAAAAATGAACAAAAAGCAAATTGTGAATAAAACAATTTTTCAATTTCATAGGTTAAAACAGGGTCTTTGAGGACTGAACTAAATTATATAGCTGCTATTAGTGACATTACGCTTTACTTCATAATTGGATGTAACACGTTCAGCCTCACCACGGCGAGAACAGCAGCGGGAGTGAAGTTCAGACTGTTTACCCTTTACAGTATCCACAATTATCAACAGCACACCACACAGATTATAAGCACCAGCCACTTGTAAAGTGGCATTTTGAATAGATAAGCAGAAGTGCAATATGGCCGTGCTTTTAACACAATGTACTGACTTCACAGCCGAGCTCAAGCCTATTTTCCTGGCTAAACACAAAAATACAGAAAATAAACACACGGGCTGGTTTTGCTAAAGTTTGGGGAGAAAAAAAAAGGAAAAGAAAACCATGACATGTAGAATTATATTTCAAAGGATATTTGCATAATGGAGAATATTTTTATCAACTTATTTCAAGCCAGCTGTAATCTCTAAGTCAAGTCTCTAGCTTGCTAAACAATTGGCTGTCTTAACATCCTAAACGTTTTGAGCCCCACCACGGGGGCAATGCATTTGATCCCTAGCCTGGAGGAGAGGACGAGGTGAGGTGGAAGAGGGAAGAGTGTTGTTTTTTCTCCCTAATGCCTGGACGAACAGAGAGGCAATATTTTAAAAACACACTACACCTTCGGCTGCCTGGCTCCTGAGTATGGTGACTGAACGGTGTGGGCACAATTTAACAAAAGCACTGGCAGAAAGTGTAGAATGGCACCGTTTTGATTACAGGCTTGCTTTTTAACGGAAATAAAATTTCACAGTTAACAATGGAAGGTGAAAAGTTTAAGAGGCAAAGCTTTTCCTCCTGATCATGACTGTTAATCAGCTTCATGGGTGGTTGCCTAAATCGGTAGATTCTTTTTTTTTTTTTTTTTAACCTTGCACTACTGCCAAGATTGTAACTAATTTTTTCCCCTGTTGTAAGAGGAGGGGTGAAAAACTCGGCATAGAAGGCAGCTGTGTATGAGTGACGTGAGGCACTAATGCAGAGGGCAAAATTAAAATTCATGAATCTCTTCACAACCATTTGTGTAACAAGATTAAGACGGGACAGCGGAAAAGAGCGGCATTATCAGGCGTCTTACAGTCCTCCAGCTGGTTACGCTCTATTCCAACACAGTAGGGCTAAGAGGATAACACGCAGCCTGAAGGAAAACGCTGCTCCTCCGTTTGGGAGTCGGCTCGTCCCTGGGACCACGGGGGTTTGGCCAGGGATGGAGAGGAAGAAAGCTGATTGCCGCTCAAGATGGAAAACTTTTAAGCCCCGGCTATTAGCACGTGGCAAACAAAAGCGGCTGGGGCGGAGGATCGCGGCGGCCGCGCCGGCCCCTACGCATCCCCGGAGCCCGGGGCGCGCGGGGGCGTGCAGGGGCCGGAGGAGACCGGGTGCTGCCTTCGGCCTCCGTTCCTGCGCCCCGTTGATGAGCACGAGGGCTCGGCAAGGAGCAGGGACGCTCCCCACTCTGCAGCCGGGTCCGCGGCTTTGTATCTGGCCTCTGGGCGAGATCCTCTCCGGGCACCTTCCTTTTGGAAAGCGAGCGGGAGTTGGGTCCTTGGAGGCCTCTCTCCGTCCAGTCAGCACACGGTTAAACCCACTGCTGGAGCTAAAAAGCTGCGCATTTTATGCTTCTGGTACAGAAGGGATAAGAGTCATTCTTTGGCTAGACGGAGGGGGACTGCAAGCCAGCTCTCATCATGAGAAATATACATCATGGGTGCACGTTTATACCATCTAGGTACAGCGCCCCAAGCCTGTAGAGTATTCCCCTAGGGCTCTACTTCCTGAGAGCCAAATGCAGCTCTCACCTGTCACAAGAACCAAAAGAGGAAGGCGACTATTGCTTAGTCCAGTGTCAGCAAGGTAGGGAACTGAACTTTGAAGCAATTATGATGAAATAAACACTAAGGTCACTTATTCATGGAAATGTATTTTTGTGGGGCCAATCAATCAGACCATGATTATTTATAGGGTACTGGGGGGTACTTTGGCCACCTGATGCAAAATGCCGACTCATTAGAAAAGACCCCGATGCTGGGAAAGATTGAAGGCAGAAGGAGAAGGGGTCGACAGAGGATGAGATGGTTGGATGGCATCACTGAGTCAGTGGACATGAGTTTGAGCAAGCTCTGGGAGTTGGTGATGGACAGGGAAGCCTAGGTGCTGCAGTGCATGGGGTTGCAAAGAGTCGGACACGACTGAGCGACTGAACTGAACTGGGGGTGCACAGTATAAATCTAAGAGGCATGTTTTGTTGTTGTTCAGTTGCTAAGTCGAGTCCAACTCTTTGTGACCCTGTGGATAAACAGGCCATGCTTAGCAGGGTACTAACATTGGAAATAAAAAGAGGAGGTTGCTGCCCACTAGGTGCTGACAATCTAAAGCTCTAGACAAAGGAGAGTTGGCCACTGAGGACTTGGATGCCTGGCATGTTCTAACACACTTCAGATTTTGCAGAGAAGTGACAGAGTGTGTTAGGTATAATGAAATTTTCTGCTGTTGGAGAAACCTGGGGCATTTGCTCTCCTGAGCTATGACTGAGAAACTAACAGCATTTGTCCTTTGGTCAAGGGGGAAAGTGAATGACAGGATGTCAAGCAGCTGTCAGCTGGGCCCTGGAGCTCTAGCCCCACCCTGGAGAAAAGGCCATTTTTATCCCTTTGGGTAGAAGAGCCCAGGGGGCCAGGAGAGACCCTTCCTGGACCAGGTAAAGCCTTCAAAGTCATTCCTTTTGTTCTGGAGAGGAGTTGAAAAAAGGAGAACACCATTTCTAGAGGTAGGTAAAATTTGCATAACATGCCACTTAGTTTTTATTTTCTGATTGTAAGCAGAGGGCCTGATTCCATCAGTGAGAGGAAGTGATTTAACCCTTTCAGTTCACAAACCAATATTCCCCCACCCCCAGGAGCTTAAATGGAGCCCCAGAGACCCTAAGAAATGAAACCATTTCCAGAAAGTGAAGATTTCCTTTCTACTGCTTAGAAGATCAGATTTACTTTGCATATAATTTTTCAAAAGTCAGCACACTTCTACATTATATCATAGTCCTGGGTAATAAAGAATGCTATACACATTTTCCCAGGAGAAAAATAAGGTCAGGCCTTTACTTTTCTGCAGTCATGACTTGCAAAATTGACAAGTCAAAGTCTGTTGCCAAGGTCAGACTAGCTCAGAGAAGGGAGATTTCTGTAAGGTACAAAATTACAGAAGAAATCCATGTTATACGAGTAACTGTGATATGTATTAGTAAATGTGAGATTCCTAAAAAGTTTTCAGTGGAACGCTGGCCTCTCAGTGTCCTATATTGCTTTATACCTATAAATAATAAAAAAGGCTGATAACATTGCTTTATGTAAGCAAGCTTAGAAATCACTCTCAGATAAGTGCTTTTGACCTAAATCTTGTAGCGCCTCGATCTGACATATAACCCCACAACTGTGAAATTCTGTGAGATTTAACAGTCTCAAACTGCCAACTGACCCAGCCATAAAGCAAGTGGAGATAAAGATTTACAGTCTAACATGATACAATTAGACATTCACCTTCTATTTATTTCAGTTGCAGCTAAGCATTTAACCTACTTAAAACCTGAAGGTTTTTCATTAAAATATAAATGCTTGTTTATCATTCATTCTATGCCACCTCCCCTGCATCCTACAAATCAGTCTATTATGAATGAAGAGATTAGTTAGTTTCAGAGAAAGGAGTAAACAGGAATGGTTTCTGTAAAATCCTTCTAGACATGCAAAGATAAAAGATGGCTTTGCCACACAAAATAACCAGATACAAATAGCTGTTCAGAAGCAGCACACCTAAGGAGTCCTTTAATCAAATATTTAGGTTACCTGCCAAAAAGACCATGATCTCTTCAAAATGCAATGCGGATTAAAGTGTTATCTAACACAAGCAGAAAACTAACCTTGGAGTGGAAGTTTGAAATGTGTTCATCATAATTTTCATGTCTTTGGATAGAGAAACCAGCTTTTTCAGCTAGAATGCAAAACTGGTTTAAAGTATTCCCTCGGCGTGGGGCGAATACCATTGCTTTCCCCTAGAACATTAAAAAGGAAATTCACACATTTTAAAACTGGAAGGCAACCAAACATAACAGACATTGGTCAAAGCATTTACCATACACCTGAGTGTATGGCTCTCAGGTAGAAAACTCAAAATTGTGGAATGTCTTGAGATATCCACACAGGATGGGCAGACACAGTGAGAGTAATTTCCAGGATAGACATACATCAAATAAGAGAAAAATGTCATATTTAAATGTCCAGTGCTATATTTTATCACCTTCAAACAATGCATGTAATAAATAATATCAGACTCAACATTGGTTTTTTGTACGATACATACCTCTCTTGGGTCCAGTGGTTTAAATCATCAGCTAGATTTTAGAATAACAGGTCCAGGGCAGTGCCACCCACCTTGCAACTCCTTAGCAGCTGCCAACACATCTGCAGCACAGCTCCAGAGCATGTGGCCACAGATGCCTGTAAATGTCAGTTTATTGTGCCCTGGAAATTCAGTACCGAGAAATCCTCCACAGAGACGAGTAACCACAATCCATTTCAGTTCTGCCACCAGCCTTTTCCGTGACCATACTGCCAGAGACAGAACTGTAGGCTCTTGATTTCCAACTCTACTGGATCCCTCATAAGGGCCATCATTATGGCAAAGCAGTTCCTCACAGTTATTCAAGTGGTTCCGTTTCAAAGAAAGCGGTACAATGAGGGCAAGAAGGCTTTTCTAAGTAAACTGCATAACCCCATCTGCTTGTTGTAGTGGGGAGTGTGGGAAGACTTGATCAAAATATATACCAGTTTTCAGAAGACCCTCTGACCTGAAACCCCACAATGAACATTTACTAACTACTGGCTGCATGTGGATTTTTCTTCTCCCTTTGAGATGTGCACAGAATGACTAAACTTCAGAATCTTCTTTTTCCTTTTATTTGTTTAAAAGATGGCTGTATGCTTCTGTTAATTTCAAGGTTATACGTTACCTCTATGAAATACCACTTCAGGCTGTGAGAGAATTATGAAAATATATCCCAGTTTCTTTTGAAAGTTGGTTATCATTCATACCTGCCAACTGTCTATTGAGCACTGGGGACATGGCAGACACGGGGACTGGTGCTCTATGTACATCCTCTCCTTTAGTCTTCAAATGACCCATCAAGATAGGAATTTTCAGCTCCCCTCTACAGGATGCTCAGAAAGGTTAGCTCCTTGTCCAAGATGACACATCAATAAGTGACTAGAAACTGACCTGACTCCCAATGCCAATGCTCTTCCCATTATACAACACTCCCTTCTTGTTAGTCATAGTGATGGCAATAATAATACAAGCGACCACTTTGCTAGGTGCTTCACAAGCCTTCCCTTTAATCCCCTCAACAATTTTCTCAACAACCTTGTACAGTAGACATTACATTTTACAGATGATTAAACATGCTGTAAAGGGTTTGAAGACTATAAGGAGGAAATGTGTGGCAGAAAGTGGTTTGGACTTAAAAGGGGATCTCTACCATTAGACAGTGGTGTCACCTCAGGAAAATCAGGAAAAAAAGTCATAGAACTGTTGAACTAGGAGATGCCTTGAGATGACATGAGTCCAATCTCCTTCTTATTTTTCAAATGAGAAACTCAAGTTATCCTAGCTGACTCACTGAGTTTTCTTATCCATTAAATGGGAAGAATAAAAACTCCCTTGCCTCCCCACACCCCCAATCAAAATGTGAGAATCAAATGAGGCAATGAGTGTGACAATAATTTCAGAAACAAGTTTATATAGATGTAAGAAAGACTAGGAGCATCTACACCACCTGATGGTGCTATAAAGATTCTACCAACTTCCTCTCCTTCTCTCTTCCCCTCATTTAGCTGCAAGAAAATGCACTGATCCACTGTCCTGGACATCAAGTGTGTTTTCATACTGTGTTTACATAGACATGTATACACTCAGGCACATAATTATAGCAGCACCAATCATGCCACTACACTTAAGGTTCTGTCAGTTTTTCCAGTATTAATTGCTATTTTCAGGCGGTTTTCAAACTTAGCAGCAAAAATTCATTTTGATGTGAAACTAGATATAATACATGGTCTCAGCAGGGGAGCAAAAGTCTCCATAAAAAAAAAAAGGAAGGAGCACTAGTAGGTCATTTTAGTCCTTTCTAAGAGCTGATTGTCATTCTGGATTTTTGAATAATGGAAGTGGTTTTATTTTAAAGTCACCTGCAAAAATTGTCTTACCATTATAATCAAAGAGTTGATTTTTGACAGCTGTTATCTAAATTATATATCATAATGTTTAAGCACTAAGGGGTTGTGGTTGGTTGATGTTTGCATTCACAAAACACACCTCTGCCCTCACCCCAGCCCCCTGCTGGTTGGGGTGAGCTGTAAGGGGACTGCAACTGAGCTTGTGTCTCAGTTTACCTGTCCTTCCATACCCACTTCACCTAAAACAGCCACCCTCCCCACCCCTCCCCACACCCTCTCGCTGCTCTAGCTGTATCCTTAGCCCTCATCACCACTGACACACATCACATCCTTATTTGTTATTGCCTTTCTCCTCTGGCTAAAATGTATACTCCAGGAAAATGGGATCTTCTAATGTTTTATTCACTATATTTTCTCAGTGCCTAGCATAGAAGAGACAATCAATATTTGTTGAAAGAATAAACTAAATCCAGACGTTGAATAATCTGAAAAATACAAGTCTCTGGGAATTTGAAGGCCACATTCTAACGCTTATTATTTATAAAAGATTTTCTCCAAGAAGCTTTTACAGAGTCAGCGGCTCTAATGGGATTTCAGAGGGCAGCTTTCTGTGCACAATACAGTCCCCACAAGAAAGAGAAAGAGCAAGTAGTAGTTTTAATCTCTAATTACTCAGTTATGAGTTTCAAAATGTTTTCTTTTTCATTTCGTTGAATGCAGACACCTTTGAGATGTGGATTAATATTTAGGAGGGACAATAGGACATCATCCATTCATTCAATAAGCATCCACTGTTTGCCCTACTGAGTGCCAGCCTCTCCCCAATAATGAATGGTTTTAGAAGCCCGCACCCCACCATATCCCCAGTGGAGCAGGACACTTTGTTACAGTCAGTGGAATATGCCTCACAATTTAGGCTCCAAAAATCAAACCAAGAAAAAGGACATAGATTTCAAATTAGCCCATTACTTTAGAAAAATTATTTTCAATTTACCAAAGCACAACTTTCTAAGCATTCACAGTCACAGAATCATTTTAAACTCTGATTGAACACTCAATTGAATGTAAAATTTAGAGTGATGAACAGAAATTTGAGAGAATTCATTTATCCCTTGAGAGGAGTTCCACAAAACAACGATATTGTTTACACTGTAAGCTCAGTTGTTGTTATTCTGCTAGACTAATCTATACTCAGAGATTAAAGGACGTGCACTTCTGGAAAACATGTCTTCTTCAGACTTAAAGGAATAGGCTATGCTTTTCCATTTCCAGGTGATCAACTATTAAATGTCGATTACATGTGTAAGCTTATGTTTATTTTCTAACCATGTCTTTATCTGGTTTCTGAGATGCTGCCTTTGCATGCTTCCTCCCCTACATTTCTCTCAGTTAGTCCCCGAGCCTGGCTTCTTTTTATCACCCGCCCTTTCATTATCAGTAGTCCCCAGGACTCTGTCTACTTTTTCTTTATGTTTTATACAGTTCCAGGCAATTGTACTGAAGTCCACAACTTCAACTATCACTTACACGTTAAAAACTCCCAAGTACATAACTGCAGCATTCACCATTGTCCAGTTCACATACCTGGATTTTCAGGTGCCTACTAGAGCCCTCCACGGGGATGTTCTGAAAGCATCTTTAACCCATTTTGTCTAAAATGGAATTCAATAGAGGTTGGCCTAAACCTCTACCCTTCCCAGGGCACTATTCATCCATCTCTCTCTTTCTTTCTCTCTCTCACACACATAGCTGAGTACCTATTAAGTACCAAATACTTCCATACCCTTCACCTTCAAAATGAAACTGGAAATCAGGAAATCATGACGTTGCCTTTTAAAACCGTTGTATCTTATTTTATCCCCAAGGAGCACTCCAGAAATATTTGCTGAATGAACCTCTCAGTGAACACCCATCCAGTTCCCTCTTCTCCATCTTTAGGTCTCCTGGTTCCTAACTGTACAGTTTTAGGTAGAAGTTGGTTCACAGTGGACCCATGAAGAGCCTTGCTGCTTTCAAGTTCTTATTCCAAAACCAGCTTTTATGTTGGCCAGAGTGATCTTTCTTGGCCCCACATCCGACTATATCACTGCTCAAAAACTTTCGATGGCTATTACCCATAAAGTCTAGTCTCTCCAACATCGTGTTCTCAGCCTTTCTGAAAGTGGTACCCAAACTAACTCATCTCCTGCCCCTCCCCCAGTATAACAGACACTTCTAAACTCCAACCAGAGCAAACTCCTGCAAACTCAACATGCTCTTTCATACTCTCTACCTGTGAGCTCTGTTCTTTCCACCAGGGATGCTACTTTCTAGTCCCCTTCTACTGAGGCTCAGAATGGCCTTCTTACTATTCAACTGAAGTCAATATTCCTGCCTCTAGGGAACTCTTCCTCAGGCAATTAGTTATTCTTTGTGCTGCATTCCAGTACCTAGACTCTTGCATTGTAATTCCTAGGAGTTGTGCATTAATCTTCCCTGCTATACAGTGAGATTCTTTATAGTGCTGGTTATTCTTATTCATACCCCACAGTCCAGCACAGTGCTAGGCAGAGAGCAGTTGCTCAACAAGTGTTTGTTGACTCAGACCGAGTTCAGTCCTTTAAGGATCTCACGTTCTACAGAAAGTGTCAATTAGAAAGATTCACACAACAAACAAAAACAGCACCAGGCTCTATATGATCGAGTGCTGGGCTATTATAAGCCATTTTGCACTGTCCACTGTAGTTCCAGCTATGTGTGTGAGGTCTCTATGACCACATTCTAAATTCCTCAGGGGCAGAGACTCAGCACTGGACATGCTGGATAAACACCTGGGTGGACT